CTGCTGCAGTGAAGCAGGTTAAAGCACCAGTTGTGCTCTCAGGGGCAGCACTTTCAGCTTCTTCCCAGAGTCTTGGCCCCGGTGCACAGATTTAGGGAGCTTTAAAGAACTGCAAACATGGGTCTGCAGAGTCAGTGCTGTATCAACAGCAGGAAACACGCAGAGTTCCTGCTAAAACCCCTTCTTGGCTGGAGGCCATATCACTGGCCAACCCATATGGGAATGTCCAGTTACATGACTTGCTTATGGATGGGTCGGCTCAAATCCTACAGCATGTCAAAATTTCATCCTCCTTCCCTCCTCTGCCCCCCTGTCCCTTGTCAGGAACAATATTTCATCAGTAGGGTTAATTATCAATGTTAGTTTGCAAGTAAAGCACCTTATTCTTTGGAAATCTCTGGATTAGCTACTATGAGGAACACAGATAGGTGATCTGAGAAAACAGAGACAATCCAGGAGACTTGCCTGTAGAATTTCAGTTAGGTGGTATGACCTTTAGGAATGGGGTGCAGATACTCCTGCACCTCTGTTATCTCTAACTGAGCCACCTTCTCAGCAGAGTAGTTTAGCCCACACACATTTCCACATTAACACAAGTTATGCAGCTGCTCATAGCACTTAGACCAGCCTGGGCATCCTGACATTTGCACAGTGCCACAGAGATGATTTCAGGAGTCGTCTTGGTTTTGAGTATCAGTGTAGTAAGGAACCCAGGCTGTGTTTGACAGCTAGAACATGGCACTCAGAAGTAATGATGCATTTTTTTAAAGTGTTTTCATATCTTTCACTGGGAATTGAGTGAATACAAGGTGTTCCTGTTGGGTATACATTAGCAGCCAATGCAATGTCTACCCCCTCATCTTAGCTTCTGAGGAAAAAGGAGCAAGAGAGCTTCACAAACCATAAGGATTTGTCTTTTGTCATTTAAAACTTACATGACACAAAGAATAGCGTTTAGTCCTGAGTGTCACAGCCTCTGTGGTGGTGGGGAGGTTAGCTGCACCTTGCCAGTGACTCTGGGTGCATCCCTTGCAGTGTCAGACCTCTGATCCATTGGGGAACATCACAGCTGTCTTACACCAGTGTCAGGTTATCAGATCCAGTTAAGCTTAGCATTTGTATTGTCCCTCCAGGACTGTATGGCATGCAGGATATAGAATAACTTTCTTTAAACTAAAACTTCAGTTATTTTAAAAACAGGTATTATTCACAGAGAAAACCAAAACTCTTCAACAAAACAGCCTTTACAGGACCAAAGATGATCCTACCTCAGCGCCTACCATCATAATATTAACCTAAGCAATCCTAGGTTTTTCACTAAGGCATCTATCACTTATTTGGTTCCCTCAAATCACTTTCTGAACAAGTGCCCCCTCTATCTAAGGCAATATATACTTTACAAACTCAATACATTATTTTTTCCTTCCTTCCCTTCCCTGACTCATGAGCATGTTCTTGTTCATCATTGCCTCTTAATAAGCCTTAAATGCTTGTGGAGATAAATTTTGTTCCTTTTTAGTTTGTTATACTTTACAGCCCCGTAACAAGGCATATATATCCATTCATTCAGTAAACATTTCAGTATCTGTAAAATACAGGATAACTATAAATTAGTACAAAGCAGCTCCACACCTGTAACACCATGATATTCGAAAATGTCCAGAACCCTGACTGAAGCCATCACAGAATACTAAGTCAATGTCCTCACTGTTTTCGTTTAGTAGGACCGAGATATTAACAGTGTTAATACAAATAGCATCAAAGCATTTGCAAATGAAGGAAACCTTGAAATTAAGTCTACTGTTCTTGTGGAAATAGTGAAATAATCTGTACAGTTACATATGAGTCTTACCAATTAGGTGCCCACTTACACACTTACTTGTGTAGTAAAGGTCCAGCTAACATCCAAGTGCACTGTATGTTCCCTCCTCAACAGCAGAACATAACTGGCATTGAATGCAACATACCTGAGCTTCATTTGTGTACCCAGCCCTCAGAAATGGAAGACATGAGCCCTCATACTCATACATAATTTAAACCAGTGGTTTTCAACCACTTGGATCTGTTGATCTCTTGAATTTTTATGTTATAATGGATATTTCACCGTTTCTGTGACCTGCAGCAATTTCACATATCTAACTTGGGATATAGTATATGTGAATCTGCTTCACTTTTACAAATTCTTTAGAAATCCTCCATTGAACTCTTGTGGCTAAAAAATACTGATTTAGTAAATTCTTTATCTATTTGTTGGGTCACACTGCCTTTTAAATGTTACATTATACTTTCCCTTTCTTTCTAGTTCCACTCAATTTTTACTTCTGATCTTAATTAAACATGCTTTCAACTATCCAGCAGTTTTGTTTCTTTTATTGTGTTTAGTGAATCTAACTGAAAGAGCTGATATTATTGGGTTAGAGTCAAGAAGAAAGTATTTAAAAAAGGAAGCTTTTTATAAAAACGCATCAAAATGAAATCTTCCAGCTCTGAAGCAGCCTCTGTAGTTTTTCTGTTTTGTTTCAGAAAACATTCCCAAAGCTTTCCAAGACTTTTAAAAATCTCCTATGAGGCATGAAGCATTAATCTTTAAAATTAAAGCTGCTAGAGCTGAATTTCCAGTCTTCTAACAATTATTGGGTGTTTTTGTTTTGGGAGAAAGGATAATCTTGTGGTTAAGGAACTGGAGGAAGAAGAAAAAATCCTGAGTCAGTTACCAGTATCATCACCAACTTCTTGCATGATCTTTGACAACCCAGACTAACTTTTTTCTGTTTATCAGAATAAATATAAAAATGGAATATAAATATAAAATGGGAATAGCAGCATTTCTGAGTGATGTTGCAGGGAGAAGGCACAGTGAGTCCAATGTGCCTGTACGAGAAAGAGCCATAAACTGAAAATACCCCTCATGCTTCCTAAGGACCAAGTCCTTAGACTGCGCATACAATAGCCAGAGGCTTCAAAAGGAACTGTGTGTAACACAGTATTTGAAATAGTATCATCTAGGATAGAGCTCATGTGGACTGTTCTGTTTGTGGGACTAGTGGATAAGATGGAAAACTCACTCCTGTAAGTAGCGTATTTTGGAGAGAAAAAAATGCCATGAAATATACATCCATACTTCAGCAAAAGGAGTCATCTAGGGCATACTGGAGATGGCCTTTATGTTGCTGGCAATGAAGAATGGGTGTTGGTACAAGCTAAGCAAACCTTCCTGGGGTCGCTGTCTATGAGGGCAGCTGGCCATCGCTGAATTGTGTGAAATGACACCTTTACTGCCCTTGCTACCAGAATTAGACAATTAATGATAACACTACTAAACCTGCCTATACTGCAGTCCCTCCTCCAAGTACAGTGCATTTATACCTACACAATGGGCTCTCTCTGGCTTAACTTCAGCTGTCTACAGGTCAGGCATCTATCCAGAGGACACAAACAACCAGCTCAGGTCAACTAAATGAACCACACTTTGAAGATTCCAAGCTGAATAGTTGTGTGATACAGTCCAAAGCCTTGTTGATAACAATTACTCATCAGCCTGTGTTTGTGCCTTTATTTGAAACATGGTATCTGCAAAAGGACATCTCTTCCAAGAGTATAGAGCTGTCCTGAGTCTCTTCAGTCAACTTTTCTGGAGTTTCCCACAGGCAAGCCAGATGTCCTACTAGGTTTCATCACTAGGTTTTCATTCATTCTTCAAAATGTCCCTTTAAAATGCAATGGAATTTTCATTTGGCCTGTAAGTTTCCTATTCAAACCTGAAATTAATTTGTATAGATAATATATTCCACTTCTGTTACATGAACTATCTAATCATAAGATGGAAATACAGGAATATTTCCTAAACTGGTTTTATTTTAAAGGTGTACACTCAGGGCATATTACAATAAAAATACTGTATGCATACTGTCTATACCTGTACATTCACATTTACATATAACCATATGCTGTACATAGTATTACATGCCCAAGTAGCCATATACACATACAGGAGCTATCTCTTACTCTGTTTTGAAGAATGCCAGCATGATGGGAGAGTCATCCTGAGTAGAGTTCCTAGACGCTCACATAATAATAGGATGTGTGGGTGGCTGAAGCTGGAAGGAGTGAAGAACTGCACTGCTTACTTGCTACATTTAAGTAAGCTCTTCTAATTTAATTTGTTCTCTCAGAAAAGAAAAAAATTGTATTGTGTTCGCATTTAAATAAACCACAAATGTTATGATTAAATATAACCTAAAGAATCATAACTTTTGCTAAATGATTAAACTGTCAAAGTCTGCCTAAATAAAGGAATCAGTTTTGAAGTCTCTGCAAACACTAGGTTTAAATTATTTTCAAGACCTATAGAGAGACAACAGAAAACATAAACAGCCTGAATTGTTTAAAATGTGTGTTCCCTCTAATTAAATAAGAAACATCTGTCTTGGTATTTTGGAAGTGGATATAATCCATCCGCATTGTGCCTAAATGAGTTTGCATCTAGCTTCCAATATTCTGAAATAAAATTCTTGCTTTCTGAAAAGAATTAAATAGGCATGCTGCATAAGGTACTTCATCCGTCTGAATAGACGGAAAACCCCGTGCTGAAAATAACAGCAAAGACGAGCAATCCTGTGACTTCCAGGATTCAGAGAAGTGTGTGAGACATGGGTTTTGGGGTTTTACCTTCTAAGCACTCAAAAAAAAAAAAAAACCAAACAGTATTTTCAAAATGAGGAATCTGCCACAAGCACCTTTCATTAAAGCATTAAGATGAACGACGCACAGATCCTGGAGGTCATACTCCTGTTATTTCTCTGGGGAGCGTGAAACCCTTCCCTGCAAGCGCACATGCATACAGACTCCCAGAAGCGGGATTTCTCCAGCAAACTGCAGATACTCAGATCCAAGCGACGCAGCTGAAGGGAGCGCGGAAGAAACTTGTGCCGAAGGGGGACCTGAGCACAGCGGGAGCAACGCACACAACGCTGCGCTACCAGACGCGGCGATTTACTTACTGGTGTTATCAAAGGGTATCTGCCTGCACTGGGTGGCGGGCCAGGCGCAGTGGTACACCGCTCCTCCTTCCACTATGTCTGGCTGCGTGGTGTTGGCTCTGGGAGCTCCCACCAGGACACTGACTCTGCGGAACACAGCGGGAAGTCAGCGGGGCGGTGGGGGCCATCAGCACCGACGG